CTTCGAGTCCTGTCCTGGGGAGAGGACAAGTGTCACCGGGCGAGACCCTTGTGCCCAGGCAGAGGCTGATGCCGAGAGCTTGAGCACCCACCGCCCCGCCGGGAGGGCTGCAGGGAGCCCCGGCGAGGCTCTTCCCATCCCCTGCCCCGAGCTCGCACCCTCTGCCCGTTCCCCAGGCGTTCACGCGTGGAAATCCCAGCTCCCAGCGTCAGCCGGGGATGCCTGGCACCGGGTGCCGCAGGCAGCACTGCCCGTACCCCGCGGTCCCCCGGGAATCGGGGCCCGGCACGGCAGCTTACACACGACTCTGATCCGGGAGCAGGTCCGGGAGGCCCTGAAGCTGGCGGGGCAGAATTGCAGGGTGGGGACCCCGCAGGTGACGCCCACCGAGGAGGGGACCCGGACCTCGGTGCTGGAGGAGAGGTTCCCGCACCGCAGCTCCCGGCACAGCTGCCTGCCCCACTCGGCTCGCTGCGCCTGGTTGTCACACAGCACCCGCCACTGCCCCTCGTGAAAGACCTCGATGTCCCCTTCGCAAGGCGTGGGGCCGGCCGCCAGCCTCCGCAGGGCCTGGGGCTGGGAACCTGGGGGAGAGAGACGGAGAGGGGTCAGACCCACGGGGAGACATCGTGGCAGGTTGATGGGGCTCGGCATCCTGCCGGCGCACGGTCCTCTTTCCCCCGGGACCGGCTCTCGGCACAGGGATGCTCACGGCGTCTCAGCTTCCCCTTGGGCCACGGGGACCGGGGGACGCGCGCGAGCCGTACCGGGCCCACACGTTGAGGAGTTTTGAGCTGTCCCCGCGGGAAACGCAGCGGGGAAGCCCCCTCTGCCAGCTGCCGCGGGGCAGCCCGTTAAACCCCCAAATCCCGCAGGTGGGCTTCTAAGCTCAGGCAGATGGCAGGACCCGGAGCAAGCCCGCTCCTCGCCCTGCAGGTTGGCTCTCCGTCCTGCGGCGCCAGCACCGAGCTGCTCCGCAGGGAGATGCTCACGGCAGGGAGATGATGCTCACGGCGGGGGCTCGAGAGGCGTGCACGAGCACGGTGCTGGGCTCTGCCGGCGTACCCCGCGCGCCCGTGTTGGGTTTCGGGGTGCTAACGCGGCGCTTGCTGCGCGCTGCGCTCGCTCCCCGGCTTTTCCTACTTGCAGCGCTGCTGCATTTGAAGCTTGGGGCTGGGGGTGCCGTTGCCAGGAACCGAGCGCGCCGGGGAGATTTCCTGTTTTGCCTTCACACGGAGGAGAGGAAGAGCAGGAGTGGGTGGACGGGGTGCATGGGGCAGACAGGGATGGGGCTGTTGCCCTGCTCAGGGCTTCAGCCGCCCGGCCAGCCCGCAGCTGGGCATCCAGCCCAATTCCCCCCCCCCCTCCTCCCGGGGCACCTCTGCAGGGGGGGAAAAGCAGCCTCCGGCCCTGGAGCACGCCGGGGGCAGCCTAGCCAGTTGGCCGGAGCAAGCGGAGGGTCCGGGGGAAGGAGCGGGGCTGTGCCGGGGCAAGCTCTCACCGGAGCAGATGATGAAGGCGGGCGTTTTCCCCCGCCGGGCGCTGGTCCTGTTGAAGCAGTTGAGGAGCAGATGGTCAAGGAGCCGATGGCTCTTGCAGGTCTCCACCACCTCCCACCGCACCGGCAAGTGGCTTTCCCGCTCTCCGTGCCCACGGCCGTCGATGACGGTGCCGCAGCTGAGAGCCTGGCAGACGTGGGTGGCCAGCTCCGGCCAGATGCCCGGGCTGCCCGCCACGGCCCCCCACAGCCCCTGCCTGTGCAGCTCCACGAAGCCCGAGCAGTTGAAGTTCCCATCCACCAGCCGCAACCTGGCGGGTCCTGGCGAGGGATGGGGGAAAAAGCATCTCGTTACAGACCGGGACGACATTTCTTTCCACTATTGAGCAGAAAGTCCCCGAGCCCGCCACGTCTGAAGCTTAATTGCCCCGTTGATGCTGCAAACGCTATTAATGAGATCAGGCGATCTCGCAAGGCGGGGGGCAGTTTGCTTTGTGCCCCCC